CACACGCACACGCACACGCACACGCACACGCACACGCACACGCACACGCACACACACACGCACACACAGACGTATGGCGATCGCGCCTTCCGCATTGTGTCGGACAGCTACGTCAAGTCGGACTCCGGTACCGGTATCGTGCACCAGGCCCCGGCCTTTGGTGAGGATGATTACCGCGTGTGCATGGAGCATGGTGTCATCCTCAAGGGGGAGGCCCTTCCCTGCCCGATTGACGACACCGGTGCCTTCACGTCGGCCGTTCCGGAGTACGCCGGGCAGAATGTCAAGGCCGCGGATAAGGCCATCATCCGCGCCCTGACTGCCTCTGGCAACCTCTTCAAGAATGTCCAGATCACCCATAGCTACCCCTTCTGCTGGCGCTCGGACACCCCGCTCATTTACCGCGCCGTGCCCAGCTGGTTCATCCGCGTGGAGGACCTGGTCGAGCGCCTGCTCAAGAACAACACCGACTCCTATTGGGTCCCGGAGTTCGTGCAGACCCAGCGCTTCGCCAACTGGCTGCGTGATGCTCGCGATTGGGCTGTCTCGCGTAACCGCTTCTGGGGCACCCCCCTGCCGCTGTGGGTGTCCGAGGACTTCGAGGAGGTCGTTTGCATCGGCTCGGTCGAGGAGCTCTTCGAGCTCTCTGGTGTCCGTGTCACCGACCTCCACCGCGAGAGCATCGACCATATCACCATCCCCTCCAAGCAGGGCAAGGGCGACTTGCGCCGTGTGACCGAGGTCTTCGATTGCTGGTTCGAGAGTGGCAGGTATGTGCCATTTTCTTGTGCGACTTGGTCCAGGTGTTGGCTGCTGCTGCTCGCGGCCGCTCTCCTTCCCTTCTATCCCCCCTTTTCTTCATAATCCCTCCTCTCTCATTGCTCACATTCACATCCCCCCCCCCTCCCGCCTATGTACGGACGCACGCACGCACGCACGCACGTACACAGCATGCCCTACGCCCAGCAGCACTACCCCTTCGAGAACAAGGATGTCTTCGAGGCCTCCTTCCCGGCGGACTTCGTGGCCGAGGGCCTGGACCAGACTCGTGGCTGGTTCTACACCCTGCTGGTCATCTCCACCGCTCTCTTTGACAAGCCTCCCTTCAAGAACCTGATTGTCAACGGCCTGGTTCTGGCCGAGGATGGCCGCAAGATGTCCAAGCGCCTGGCCAACTATCCCGACCCCACCAAGGTCATGGATGCCCATGGTGCCGATGCCCTGCGCATCTACCTGATTGACTCGCCAGTCGTGCGGGCCGAGGTCCTGCGCTTCCAGGAGCGCGGTGTCCAGCGCGTTGTGCGCGATCTCCTGCTCCCCTGGTACAATGCGTACCGGTTCTTCGTGCAGAACGCCGACCGCTGGTCCACCGAGGCTGGCCGGCCCTTCGAGCATGATCCCTCCTCCAAGACGGCCCTCAAGCTCACCAACCTGACCGACCGTTGGGTCCTGGCGGCCACGCACAACTTGATCAGCTTCGTCACCAAGGAGATGGAGGCCTATCGCCTGTACACCGTGGTGCCGCGCCTGCTGCGCCATGTTGACCAGCTGACCAACTGGTATGTGCGCCTGAACCGCCGCCGTCTGCGTGGTGATGTCCTGGTGGCCGAGGATGGGTCCACCATGCCGGCCGACCAGGAGGACACCCTGACCGCTCTGCGGACCCTCTTCGAGGCGCTCTTCCTCATGACCAAGATGATGGCCCCCTTCACGCCCTTCATCGCGGAGAAGATCTATCAGAACCTGTACAAGTGCCTGCCCACCACCGAGGAGGATGTGCGCTCGGTGCATTTCACCTCCTTCCCCGTGCCGAACCCGGCCTACTTCGATCCGGAGATGGAGCGCGCCATGGGCTCCATGCAGCGCATCATCGAGCTGGGCCGTGTCATCCGCGAGCGTCGGAATGTCTCGATCAAGGTGCGCTCCTCCTTTTCTTCTTGTTGCTCTTCTTCTTGCTCTTCTGTCTCTTTCTTTCTTCCCCCCCCCCCTCCTGGGCTGCTCCTCTTCTGGGGGGGGGGGGGGGCGGGGCATCTGGATGTGTCCCTAACTTCTCCTCATGCATGGCCCATTGTAGAACCCCCTGCGCGAGATGATCATCGTCGATGCCGATGCCTCTGAGGACTCGCCCCTGCGTGCCGACGTGGCCATGCTCGAGGAGTACATTCGCGATGAGCTGAACGTCGTCCGGGTGCGCTTTGCCGAGCCCGGCGAGTTCAACCTCAACTACCAGGCCTCCGCCAATGCCGCTCGCCTGGGTCGCCGTGTCGGCAGGTCCATGCAGGAGATCATCAAGTCTGCCCGCGGTACGTGCATGCATCCAAAAAAAAAAGAGAGGCACCTCCTTTCCTCTCCTCTCCCCTGCTTGGCATCAAATCCTCACTCCCCCTCCCGTCCCCTCTCTGCCGCACATGCAGCGCTCCCCACCGAGGACATCAAGAAGCTCCTGGCTGGCGAGAACATCACCCTCCATGGGCATGAGCTGACCCCGGAGGACTTCACTCTGACCCTGCGCCTGCTGTCGTCCGATGAGTCCGCTGCCGAGGGCTCGGTCGATCGCGAGTCCAACATGGATGGCAACATCGCCGTCTTGCTGGACCTGTCTCGCGACCAGCAGCTTGAGGACATCGGTTGCGCCCGTGAGCTGGTCAACCGTGTCCAGCGCCTGCGCAAGGAGGCCCAGCTGTCTGTTTCGGATGTTGTGCACGTTTGCCTGTCGCTCGAGGTTCCGGCCGCCGAGAATGCGCAGGCTGCTGCTGCTGCTGCTGCGGCCCCGGCTGCCGGCGGCAAGCGCAAGAAGGCTGCCCCGGCCGCCGGTGTCTCCGCCGAGGAGATGGCCGCCGACCGCGAGCAGCTTGTCCGCGTGCTGGCCGAGCAGCAGGCCTTCTTCGAGCGTACTGTCCGTAGCCGCATCATCACCCCGGACCAGGTTCCGGAGGCGGCTCTCCCGCACCAGATCATCACCGATGTTGCGGAGGTGCGTGTGGTTTTCTTTTTCTTTTTCCGGCCTTCGCGTCGATCCTCTTCCCCCCCCCCCCCCCCGGCCCTGGTTACTGACCCGCTTTTGTCCCTCCCCTTTCTTCTCTTCCTTCCCGTCTTGCCTCCTTACTTTGCCTGTGCCACGGTGCAGATCCGCTCCACCAAGTTCGTCCTGACCTTCTACCGCGCCGATTAGAGGGCCTTATGCCAGCTGCCTCCCCGGTTCTTCCCCTCGCCACCTGCCTTTCTCCTTCTCGTCGTTATACACACACACACCCCTCCCCTCGCCTCTCAATGTGAGAGCACCTGTTCTTTTCCCCTCGAGACCAAATATACTGTGTCGGTGCAAATGTGTCTGGCTCCTCGAAGCCCCCCATCCACAAAGCCAAATACAACGAGATGCGTGGCTGGGCTTCTCTCGCCCGATGCTCCTCCCCGTCGAAACGAATGGACTACACCAAAGAGGCCATTTCCCCCTCGTCCATGCCAAGGTGCGATGTCTGGGTGCGATGTATTTCACAGGCGTTCACAGGCGGGGGGAGGGAGGGGGGGGATGTGCGGGCGAGGCTGTGCGTCGCAAGTGTAACAGGCGCCAGGGTATTTACGCGACGGCCTAGTTGTTCAGCAGCCGGTCGAGCTCCAGCATGCCATCAATGCGCATGCGTTTGCGCGCCGGCACATACGGAACAGTCTTGCTATCGAACCACACCCCATCAGCCGGGCGCCCGGAGAAGAGAGCCATGGCATGGGGATCCAGCGAACCAGGGGTCAATGACCCAGGGCCAGCGGAGGCAGCCGGCTGGCCACAGGCCGCTTCCGGCCCGGCAGTCCGCCGCTCCGGCGCATACCGCTGAACGTGTGGCATGGCCGGCGGCAGATGCAAACACACCATCGACAGATTGGAGCTCAGATCGCGGCGCATCTGATTGAATGCGCCATTTTCTAGGGAGCCGATTGCGAGTGGCCGGAGCCAGGACGGGAAGTGTCAGAGGGATGGCCAAAGGGGAAGGATGAAGCACCATGCACATGGGGAGAAGGCGCAGACAGGGTGGGAGGGGCGGGCGGGCGGGCGGGAATGAGCAAGAGCACGCACCCGACGGGGCAGCAGCAGCCTGGCGGAGAATGGTCATCAGCGGTGTGTCCGGGGGGATGGCGGCCAAGCGAGCCTTCTGCCGGGCTGCCACCAGCGGAGCCTGTTGCTGGAGGAACTGACCGGCATCAGCCACGGCTTGAGGGTCTTGCCTGGCCGCAGGGGCACCCCGGAGGTTGGGAGCATTCTGGGAGGAGGGTCTCCCCGTCTCAGTGGACGGCCCCCCGGCGCCATCGAGCCCACCTGCGGGGTGCCGGTCTCCGGCTTCAGCTCAACCGGACTCGCAGCAGGGGGACCCCGCTGGCCGACAGAGGTGCCAGTGGAAGGCATGGCGCTGGGAGTAGGCCCGCCCGAGGCTGGAGGCGATTTGAGTGTCGGGGACCCATTCCGTGGTAGGCTGGGCCGAGAAGTGGCGCCTCGCGTAGTTGTCGCTGTCGCCGTGGCCGTCGGCATGGTGGTCTGAGAGTGGACTGGTTTGCCACTGCCGGGGGCAGTCGGTGGCACAGCAGTTGTTGGATCAGGTGCAGAGGGTGTCGGAGCGCCTGCCGCAACGGGAGGAACCGGAGTGGGCGAGGCAGCAGAACCAGACAGGGTGGGCGAGGGAGCCGAAGTGGCCGAATGGGTGACTGGCGCAGAGGGAGCGACCGGAGGAGAGGGCCCAATCGAAGAGGCTGGAGCGGTGCGGGGGGCCGAGGCAACAGCAGCACTGGCGGTGGAAGAAGAGACTGCCGATGGGGCGGCGGCGGCGGCGGCGGCGGCTGTTGGGGTTGTTGTCGCGACTGGGACGGCACTTGCGGCGCTCGAAGTTGTGGGTGATTGCTGTTGTGGAGAGGCGATTGGCGAGGCAGCAGAGGACGAAGAGGAGGATGTTGTGGAGGTGGTGGCCGATGAGGCGGAGGCTGACCCGGCGGCGGGGGTTCCCGCTGCCGAGGCAGGCGCCGTGGTGGCATTGGCCGCCGGGGTACCCAGCGCGGGGACTGCTGGGGCTGCGGCCGGGGGTGCGACAGCCGGCGCGGTGGTGGCCGTTTGATGCGACTCGTCCGACAGATCGACAATGATGTGTTCCGCTGTCGGTGGCTTGGGTCGATCTTCCCGGAGGACCATCTTCAGACGATCTGGCATCTGTGGCAGGACATTTGCCAGCTGGGGGTACATCTCCAGCAATTGCAGGCGTAGGGATTGCACCCTTTCGTGGGTCTTCTTCAGGGATTGCAGCGACTGGCCGACTTGCCGAGAGCGCAGATCCATGTCCATCTGGGTGTAGTTGTCACTGCGGACGACTTTGAGCAGGGGCTCATTTTGGTATTCCTGAATGCCAGCGGTTTTGAGGAGGCGTACCGGGGGTCAGCGGGGTGGGGGGTCAGTCTCAATTGTCTGACAGGCCTGGAAGGCGCAGCATCGAGCCAAGAGGGGCCACCCATGCGCGCACCATGATGTAGCTCACGAACTGGCCACGCAAATTTGCCGCCCCAGAGAAAGAGGGGTCCCGCGAAAGGGTCTCCACAATTCGCAAAAGCTCCTTGATGTAGGCCTGGAAATCCTCCATGATGTTCTAGCGAGTCGAACAGGATGACGAGGTCAGCTATTCGCGCCACAAATGGGTGTGAAGGAAAGAACGGACGCACCTTAAATGTGTAGCCTTCTCGTCATGGGGGAGGGATATTGAGTTAGCTTTTGCATATAAAAAAGGACTGAACAAGGAAGGAGTAGAAAAGGACGAGGATGTTCCGGGAGTCGGGGGGACCATGGGGCAGGATGCGCACTTCCAGCGGGGGGACCCGAGGGCCCGGCTTTTTTCGGAGGCTCAGCCGATCGAGACGACGTGGCAAGGTGCCGCGATGGATCGCTGCCCATGGACGAAGAGGCTGAGGCGGAAGGAGTCGTGGCAGGAGTAGGTCCGGAGGTGGGCATGGAGGGCTGTTGCCAGGAATGTTGCTGCTGTTGCTGCTGCTGCTGCTGCTTTTGTTGCTGCGGCTGCGGCTGCGGCTGCGGCTGCTGTTGTTGTTGCTGCTGCTGCTGCTGCTGCTGTGGCTGCTGCTGCTGCTGCTGCTGCTGCTGTGGCTGCTGCTGCTGCTGCTGCTTAGGCTGGTTCGATTGCTGCGGCTGCTGCGCATGATGCGGTTGCTGCGGCCGCTGCGGGTGCGAGGCATGCTGCGGATGCTGCGGATGCTGCGGGTGGTGGACATGCGAGGGATGTGGCTGCTGTTGCGGCTGCTGTGGTTGATATGGCTGGGAGGACTGGTGCGGTTGCGCGTGGGCATTTGCACCCGAGGCAGGCCCAGGAGCCTGAGAAGCGGTCGAATGGCTCGCGGGGGGTTGGCCAGGCCCAGGAGGCCGATAGGCGGGACTCGGTCCCTGTGGCCGAGGGGGCCCCTGGCCAGTCGCCCCGGCATGGCCTGGATGCGGAGTCTGCGACTGTTGGGCGTATGCGTGCGGTGGCTGCTGCGAGTATGGCCCCGTTGAGGACATGTGGGGCTGCGGGCCACCAGTTGACACACCAGGGGGAGGAGGACGACCTGGCTGCGATGAGGTAGGCTGGGGCTGGGTCGACGCTGGGTGCATGCCTGGCTTAGGTGGACCAGGCGGAAGTGATGGTGCCTGGCCTGGCCCGGCTGATCGACCCGGGTGAATCTGATGGGCCTGAGACTGTTGCGGCTGCTGCGGGTG